TTATTATAATATTTTTTTTTATAAAAATTAAAATATAATTTTTTTACTACAATATATTTTTTCACGTACTAAACTCAAATTCTTAACTTAAGTTTAAAAAAAATGCCTAAAATTGCAATGTCGTCGTTGAAAGTAGCAAAAAAAAAAACACAACAACAACAATAAAGATATCATAGGGGACTGTGTGGGACATATACGTACTCTCGCTGTGGTAAATTGTCGCATTGAGTTGCACACAAATTATCCAATCAATTGAAAAGCACCGTTTCACTAGCAAAATGATAAAAAATAAAAAAAAATAAAAAAAAATGAAAAAGCACCGCCAATCAAACAACAACAGCAGGACGAACAACAACGAAAACGACAGCAGCAGCCAGCGATTGTGATAAGTGACGGAGCCAGAAAATATATTTAGGGGATAAAGTGAACCGAAATTTTAACTAAAATAACAATATAACTATTTTAATTAAGTTTAATTCACTTTCTAAAGTTTACAGTTCACAAAATTATGGATTTATATAATATTTTAGTTAATTTTTGTATTATTTGTTAATTTAAATTTAAAATACAAGTATCTTAAACTTTAAAAGTTAATTTTTGAGTATAACTTGAGGCTAGGGGTGGCAATTCGTGTCGTATTTTGATCATTTCTTTTTAAATTTGTAGTCAACCCGAACACGTCCCGTGATACGAAATTTTTTAAAAATCGCAACACGACCACTTTATAAGTTAACACGACACGATCTGAAAATGACCCGTGACACGAAATTGACCCGTGAACCCGAAATTGACACGAAAATTGTATACTTTTATTTAGTTTTTTATATATTAAAAATAACTTAAAATTCATAACACACTAAATTACAATAACATCCATTGAAATTAAGCAAATACTAGTATAAGATTTTGAGTATAACTATCATGATATCACAAGTTCATAATAAAATTTAAAATATGCAATGAAAAATATATGTATTTTTTAGTTTTTTACGAGTTTCGTATCGTGTTCGAGTTAGGCGGGTTCAACCCGAAATTGACCTGTGTTTTTCGTGTCAATTTCAGGTCGACCCAATTCTGACCCCGAACATCTTTTTTCTCAACCCTAACCCGCAAAATTCGTGTCGTTTTCGAGTCGTGTTGTCGTGTCGTGACCCATATTGCCGGCCCTACTTGAGGCCCCCTTCATTTCACTGATTTGAGTTTAGAATTTAAGTTTTATTACAGTAAAAAGTTCTTAAAAACAGTCACATCTAACTTTTTTATTACAATAAAAAAACTCTTACATAAAGTCATATATGAACTCAAATTAAAATTTCAAATTAACGAACTAAACAGGACCTAAAACTTCTCTAAACCAATTAATATAAATATTATAAATTAAAAATTTAGGGGGCAAATTAGAAAGAAGTTTGTAAACAAAATTTTTGTTGGAGTTTAGATTAAGATCTCATTTATTTTACCGATTTGAGTTTAAAATTTAAATTTTATTATAATAAAAAAATTTTAAAAATAATTACATTTAATATTTTATTATAATAAAAATTTTTTATATAAAATTATATTTAAACTCAAATTAAAAATTTAAATTAATAAATTAAATGAATCCTTAAAAGAGCCACTTGGGTCAGGAGGCAGCCAACGTGGCTCCACCACTGATGGTGATAAAGAATCTTGATAAGATTGAAAGCAGGACAGGCGTGATATGTGAAAAGGATGAGGGAGAAAAGGAAAGGAAGGAAAGAGTAGGTACTTGAGTTTTAAAAAAATAAATATGTAAAACGGATTTTTATTCCCTTTGAACGTCCAATCTTTTTCTTTCACCCAGCTCATTGATGATTCTTTTTTTTTTTTATCCTACTATATTTTAAATCAGAGTGATATATTCTAAAGTTTTCCCCTGTGTTCTTAACTCTCCGTGGCATGTCTTTTACCAAAGTTTTTGAAGAAAAGACAAACCCTAAAATTTCAAGAGATAATAAAAAGATCATGTAACGTTTTCCCAATGTCATTTCTCTATCACCATTCACCTACTTAATCCTTTTGCTTTCCATGCCCGCTACTCTTACCAGCTCATGAATCCCAGCAAATAATACGTAGGGATAAAATTAATTTGGTACATTATAACAAAACATTGAATTGATTTTTATAATATTAAAATGACACTTTTAAATTTTAAAAAAATATTTTTATATCTCGAGCATCTTTTTTGAGACGTAGAATGACGATTTTATCTTCATTAATATTATTTCAATATTCTAACATAAAGTTCAATTTCATTTTTTTCATTAATTAGTTTAAAATTGTCTTTATCATTAATTAGTTAACAACTAAAACTTAAAAGAAAAAACTAAAAAGAAAATTTACGCCTCTATAGCTTTTTAAATTTTATATCCAGATCTCAAATCACAAGCGTTAAAAAATCTCAATTTCAAACTTAGAATTTGAGGGTGCGTTTAAAATTCATTTTAAAATAATTTTATTTTTTGTATAAAAATAAAAATATTTTACATCTCAGATAAAAATTATTTTTTAAAATACGTAAGTAATTTTATAAAAAGATTATTTTTAGTGTAAAAAAAACTCATTAATATCTTTCTTTCTCTCTGTTAGAGAGAGAATAAAATGAAAATAAAAAATAAAAAATGATTAAAAATTATTTTTTATTTTTCTTTTATTTTACAATAAATTAAAAAATTATTTTTATTTTTATTTTTTATCTTTATTACACTAAAAAACGTTTTAAAAATATTTTTATTTTCATTTTTAAAAAAAATAAAAAATAAAAATAAAATCAATACCAAACACAATAGTTTCTAGAGAAATTTCATATTCTTATCTCACAACACTACCTTTGAGCTTTATTCAATCCAACAAAATTCCAAACCAAACAAACCCAGATTTCTTCTTCATTTTTCATCTATTTTTTTTTTTAACGAAAGAGAACAATCATGGGTTTGTAGATCTGGGTTTTCTTTCTTCCCATTGATCCCCAATCTAAAAAATTCACCCACATCCCACCTTCAGTGCTTAAATAACGCCGGCCCCTATCCCCACTCGGTGCCCAGTTCCCCGTTGAAGCCGTCGGCGAACCCGCATTTGCGATTCAACGAAAATCGTCTCCGGCAAAATCTCCACGCCCCAAGATCCGTGACTGTGACTTCTCCACACCCCAAGCTCGCCAACCATGGTCGCCTTTGCACTGTTCTCGTAAGCCTCCACCGACAAACCCACCCTCGTCACTGGGATAGGGCAATGGATCAAGGAGAGCCTAGAGGAGTCTTTGTTTTTGGGTTGCAGATGTTTCTGGGTTATTTTTGGGGTCGTTGTTTCGTAACAAAACTAAAAAAAAGTTTAAACTAAGTTATAATTTTATTTAAATTTACGTTTTTTTAAGTTCTAATTTTATTTAATTTTATTCAAATTATAACTTTAACTTAAGTTATAATTCAAATTTAACTCAAAAATTACACTCAAATTATACTTTAAAAAACAAACCTTTGTTACTTGGTTCTACTGTTTGCATATATGAGGAAAAAAATTTCTTGCAGCATGTAATTCGTTTGCTATTTTCTATTTTCTATTTGTTTGATTAAATATATTTTTTGGAGTTCGTTTTTATATTTTTTTCTTTTTGAGAAACTTTTGTTTGAATATTTAATGATCGATGAATAAACATATTATTTATTTATTTTTTTTGTTTCTTCAGAAGAGAAAATGAGTTTTTTTTTTTTTTTTTTTTTTGAGAATATGAAAGTTCTCTGGAAATTCAATTTCTAAGTTTGAAAATGAGATTTTCCATCATTTGTGATTTGAGATTTGTGATCTGGATATAACATTTGAAAAGATGCACATGCACAGGCTTAAGTTTTCTTTTTAAGTTTTAGTTTTTAACTAATTAATGATAAAGACAGTTTTACACTAATTAGTGAAAAAAATAAAATTGAATTTCAGAATATTGAGATAATATTAATGAGGGTAAAATCGTCATTTTGCATCCCAAAAAAGAGGATATTGAAAAAAATGTGGGGTACTAAATTAATTTTATTCCTTGTATGTCACTTTTCTCTCTATATATATCATTTATCTACATTTTTATAGGTGGGAAGATTCTGCTATCATGGACGTTGAAATAAAAATATAACATAACATTCATTTAACGTAATATTAAAATTAAAAATGAAAGTCACTAAGATAATTAAAATAATTTTTACAACTTTTTAACATCTGTATTATGTTAAATAACTAAATTAGATTACGTTTGTTTCTTATATTCGTCTATGATTTTGAATCATGATTTATTATTCTTTACAGTGTTTTCTCTCATAAAAAAATATACGTAAAACGAAAATAATTCTAAATCACGATTTTAAAAAAATATACCAAACGCATAAATTTATTAGAGTGTTATGTGTTACGTTGTATAAATGTCTATCTTATGTTTTTACTTGTACATGTTAGATAGTGTGACTGTCATCTCAATGGAACCGTAGATAAGGTTATATATAAATGGTCTACGTCAACTAAGAATATGTATTAATAACTTTTTTTTAGTTTTTGATGAATTTCAATCACATCTTAATCGCAATCTTCATATATATTCGTTTTGGTTTTACTGTTGAAAGTATTTAAAATGCTCAGAAATAGAAATAGATTGGATAGAAATACAATATATTTGTGAGGACCAAAGCACTATTGAAAATTGACATGCCCCACAGACTGAGACAAGTTAGTACCTGGGAGAAGAAAAACAAATGAAAAAACTAACTATGCCAGCTTTTAATATTTGAGAGAGAGAGAGAGAGAGAGAGAACAATAATTACTGGAAGAAAAAAGATGGGAAGGTGAAGTGTACTATATATTATATAAAGTTTTGGATCTTGCGATAAGTCTGAGTCTTGTTTTTGATAATTATATAAGTTTCAGTCTTTACTCAAATCTTTTATAACTGATTTTTGCTGGAAGATGAAACAAAATAATAAATAAAAACAGAAAAGAGAAAATCCAGTCAAATGAACAAAGCCCTGACTTTATAATGTACTACTGTATGCGTATTATTAATGTATTAGCCATTAGCCCACACCAAAGGAAGGAATCTTAAAAAGTTATCCCCTTTCCTCCAATAATTACCTGAAAACTTCACCAAAATTATCTCCCTTTTGCTTGGTACTTCTCTTTTCCAACACTAAAGAAGGAACAAAAGAAGCACAGCGCCATAGAATATATCATGACCCCATAATATAAGATCTTGATCAAAGGAGTGAAATTTTAACCCTTGTTTAGAAGAGTGCTAATAATTCTTATTCAATGGCTTATTTGGTTCAGTTGCAGAAACAGTTTGATGACTACAGAGCTTCACTGTTTAATGAGGTCAGTATATATATATATATATATATAATATATAATATATATGTTAGAAAAAAGACCATGTTGATTATATTTTTCCTCTCTTTGAGGTTTTTGATGAAGATTTTTTTTTTTTTCTGCGCTTTTTGTTTTGAAGGGATTTCTAGATGATCAATTTGAGCAACTTCAGCAACTGCAAGATGAGAGCAACCCGGATTTTGTTGTTGAAGTGGTTTCACTCTTCTTCCAAGATTCCGAGAGGCTTCTTAATGAACTAGCCACATCCTTGTGAGGACTATCTAATAAAGCTAATAATTATTTAGTATATATCTTTTACTTCTCATGAATAATATGGTAAAAATATATATATATATATATATATATGTGTGTGTGTGTGTGTGTGTGTGTGTGTGTGTGTGTGTGTGTGTGTGTTTATATATTTCGTCTCATGTAGGGATCAGCAGAATACTGATTATAGAAAGGTGGATGCACATGTTCACCAGTTGAAGGGTAGCAGCTCCAGGTATTTACTGTCCTTTTTTAGTAATTTTATTTTAACTCCTCTTTGTTTGGACAGAGAAAAAAAAAATCGTTTCTTGATATATAGGAAGTCTCAAGCTATATATATATAGATATATATGCACGGAGGACATTGATAGCTAAAATTAGTTTACTACAAAGAGGAAAAGTATAGTTTCCACTTCAAGAGAATCATATTGTACCTTGAGAAAGTCATGATTAGTCCATACTCCATAGTGATCAAGATTGTTGATCCATGTTAATATAAATTTTCTGGAACTTTAGATATTAGAATATATATATATATAGGTGGACTTATTCTTTAAGGTACATAACAAGAACAGATCTGAGAATACTGAAGATTTAGTTGTTAATTACTACAGAAATGTTTAAGGAACTATTAATATTCCAAGTTTTTTTTTTTTTTCCTTGTTGTTATATGTTTTCTTTATCTTTGTAATATTTCACGAAATAATGTTGGTTCTATTGACAGCATTGGTGCTCAGAGAGTTCAAAGAGTCTGTATTGCTTTCCGTAATTTCTGTGAGGAGCAGAACACTGAAGGGTCTGTTTCTAATTAAAATTGTCATACTGCTAATCTCTTTCTCTCTAAAAATAAAAAATAAAAAAATCCTTCAATGTACTAGGAAATTATGATGTACATATATATATATATATATATTATGTATATTCGTATGTGTACTGATATTATGTGAATTTCATTCTCATGTTTTCGATGGGATGTTATACTGCTATAAAGGTGCTTAAAATGTCTGCAACAAGTGAAACACGAGTACACCCTAGTGAAAAACAAGCTCGAAACTTTGTTCAAGGTAAGTAATTAATTATTCTTGTTTTCCTTTTTCAGTAAAATCTAAAATGTACAATATTTGGGACCAAAATTAAGGTCACTCTTTGAATTGTGTACTTGTTTGAAATGCAGTTGGAGCGTCAGCTTTTGGCCGCGAGAGGGTCATCGTTTGTGTAAAGATCAGAGCCGTTGAAGATATATAGATGATCATGATCATCAGAGACTACTACTGATCATAACAAACATGGTCACGTCATGCACATTAATGCTGTTCTCTTGATCTTCTGGGTCTGTAGAATATTTGTCTAAAATTCCTCCTTTCTGGTTGAGTACTACATATAAAAAAAACTTGCTGAGCTAAATTTGTGTGAACTTTTTAGCTTGATAAGACTGAGCTTTGTCTCGTGTTAAATGCAAAAACAATGCCCGTGATTTAGCGTGAATAAAAGCTCTCTCTCTCTCCCTCCCTCCCTCCCTCCCTCCCTCCCTCTCTCTCTCTCTCTCTCTCTCTCTCCCTCCCTCTCTCTCTCTCTCTCTCTCTCCCCCCCCCTCTCTCTCTCTCGCTCTCTCTCTCTCTCTCTCTCTCTCTCATATTTGCAAAATTGCACTCTCGCGCGCTCTCTCTCTCTCTCTCTCTCTCTCTCATATTTGCAAAATTGCACTCTCGCGCGCTCTCTCTCTCTCTCTCTCTCTCTCTCTCTCTCTCTCATATTTGCAAAATTGCAATCTCGTGCAATATTTGCTTCACAAAATATTGTCGGAACCAAAATCCAAGTTCATGCTAATTTTTATACCTTTAACTTTAATATTAACATGAACTCTGTGAGTACGCTTAATTTTATTTAATTTATATTACAGAAGCTCACTCATATATATCATTATTCCTAATGATCATAAAAATATGTTTTATAATTATTGAGTAAACTGTACGGTTATTTCAAAGAGTGACCTTTTGGTCCCAATTAATATTGCAAGGATATCTCCCAATAATGTTCTAGAAATTAGTTAAAGTTGGTTTTTTCACCATTGATGCTTCCCTCTGAGGAAGCAATGCAAAGTTCCCTGATATAATAAAAGGACAAAATATTCCACGTTACAATATGGAAAAAGACTAATGCACTACTCAGGCAAAAGTTGTGGTGGTTGTGGAAAATTCATTAGAAACTAACATCATTTGCTTAAAGTAATTATCAGGACCACATTTGGATAAAATCAACAAATTTATCCGAGATTAGTCCAAGTTATCTTAGGCTTTAATTTCGTTAATGCACAAGGTGATTTTCATCATTTGCATTCACCTGTTATTGATTATAATATGTGCAGATTATATGGAGTGTATATTACTGAGCTTAATAATATTTTAACTATTCACCTTTTTTTTTTTTTTTACTATAAGCTAATAATAAGCATATTGTATGGCTTTTTAAAAATTAACAAAATTTGAGCTGCACTGCTTCTAATACACGCGGCGTGGAATTCGAGGTCAGAATATATAAGGGCGTGACCCCATACATGGGTAAACCAGTTTTAAAGGGCATGTGAATAATATGTGTAGGTCAATAGAAAAGGATAACTACAAAGTCTTTGGCCATATAAAAATAAAAATAAAAATAAAAATAAGGCCACCGACCCTTTGTTGTGAGCGGGATACATTTTTGGTATATTATAAAGGGGAAACAGTTGTCAGAATATATAAATATTGTGGTACTGAAAGTAGAGAGCAAAGCCCACTTTTGTTGTGGGGATTTTTTTTTTTTTTTTTTTTTTTCGGGGCATTTCTCAAGTAAGTTCAATGAACATGATATGTGTTTTTAAATGGTCAACTGTCTGCTCTTTAGATTATAACATGAAAGCACGGCAAAGAAATACAAGCTGTAATGGCAGTGTTGTGTCCAATAATTTCTTTGGTTTGGTCTTTGACTAGTGTTTAGCTAGCAAACCAACCGGTTTAAATTTGTGTTTGGTTTCTCTTAAATATGAGAGAAACTACATTTGGAGGATTTTTTTTGGTAGGTAAAAAATATAGAAAAAGTCTCAGATATTTGACACTTAATAGTATTTTTCCTTCCTTCGCCATTGTTACATCATTTGTACGTTCGTGTAACATTAATATTTAATGCTATAAGTGTAGAACTATATTTATTGAGTGCACGAACGAGATTACAATGGCAATAAAAAATATTACAAAGAGTGCCTGATTGGTTCATGTGATTAATTAGAGGCATTTCTAAAAATAAAAATAACAATAATCAGGACAATTTTGTTAATTGGTTATAATCTGAAATGATTTTAATGTAATTTGATGGTTTAAACCTGTGTTTATTAATGAGATTTTTTTCATACAATTATTCTTGTAAGTGCTTTCATGCATCTTCTTGGCACATTTTGTACCTCAAGATGACTTTAGTACTAGAATAATAATATCTTCTAGGAAATTAAAAATTGTAAGAGGACAGTTTCCATATACTCTTCCTAACTATAACTTATTAAGGTATTCTTGAAAAAGATGAGATTCGATTATGACATACTAACAAGAGGCTCTACCTATCTCCTTTAAGCTAATGAGATTTATAAGCTACCTATTTTGTACATTAAAAAAAGAGTACGTGCATGCGTAATAGCATATAAAAGTTCCAAGCTCTGACACGTATCTTGTTCTTATATATTATTCTTCATATATGCCAATGCCACTAATCTCAAATAACAGTTCTTGAACTCCTACGTGGCAGATTTGACAGGGAATCTGCAGAGATACAGAAAATCCGAAGTGGGAGGAACTAGAAAATTAAAGGGAATTCTTTGGCCTATTTGGAAAAAAAAAAAAAAAAAACAGCTGTTGTAAGGGAAGCTGAAGAGGGGTTAAGATATAATTTAAAATATATATATATATATATATATATATATTGCTGGGGAGTATTTGCTTTGAGTAATTTCCAGCTTGGCAGATTCCAACAACAATATAAGATCTGCATATTTTTTAATCCCTTCCAATTAGTTTACTTTGCGCATATATGGCTTACCTTGCTTCCATGATGCATGCATCAATATCATGTTGTTTTGATTTTATTACATTTATTTATTATATACAGTTTGTATTAAATTGGTTTCAAAATAAATGAAGACAGATAGCTTTTAGATGCAGGTTGTAACGTTATTTTCCTATTTCTTTAATTTATGTTTGACATAAACAGCAAATAAGGACATAAGTACTATCGATCCTACCAGCAAGTTAGCATCATAGATAATATTTTCAGTTCTCTTTGGTGGGGTATAACTCCATATTCTCTTCTGTTCATCATAACTTCCTATAACAGCAGATTGCCTGTGATCACCTAACTGATTACCAAAATGGTCATAATATGCCTCTGGATTTATACTTTCCAACACTTTCACCTTTTTTCCTTGATGCTCATCAATGATAATCTGTCCAAGCTTTGATGTATCTCCTTCTGCCAAGAGCTTGAGAGACTTAAATTTAAACTTTTGGTTTAGTTGAGGGTGGTTCTCAGCTGCAAAGATTACTGCACCAAGGATTTCTCCCAAAAACATATCCTGCGAAATAATGAGGAAAACAAAGCTTAGGACATTCAACCAACTTAAAAAAGCTGCCAATTTTATTTAAGAGTGTATTTGGCGCTTTGAATTTTTCACAAAGTCACAAGCTATCACTTAGATTTTAATTTTGGCAAGTAATCCTTGAATCTTATAATTATATTACAGAATGATTACAAACCGGTCATGACTGCTAAAATTCAGATGAAAATCCTCACTTGCACATCATGTGATTTCGTTTTAAAGAAACAAGTGTGTTTTTGTTTAAATTTTAATAGTTGCCATCGACTTAGGGGCGGTCTGCAATATTTTACTAAAATATTGAGGAGTAATTTATCAAAATTAAAAATTTACGAAGCAATTGACAAATCAGAGAAGCACTTCAAGAGGCAATAGTACCAAAGAAAAAAGAAAACAACTTAAAAAAAAAAACTTTGCAAATATGCTGACACTGATAAACATATAGCCAAGAATCAAGCAAGAAATGAGTAAATGAGAAATAGATATAAACTAGAGAATTAAACTGTGCTGCACCAATATACCATATGAAGATATCTATGATCCTTCTGTTGCAATTGCCTCAGTCTCAGAAGCAGACGCCGGGCAAATACAGCTTCAGAAGTCCTATTTGTCTTCTTCAATTTATGAAGAATCTTGTGGAAAGAACCAACTCGCTTTTGCATGCGCAGTGGAATCAACGTAATGTTAAGTTTCGAGTCCAAAACCGTCTTTGCAGCTAAAGGATCAAGGAACATGTTGAATTCTGCATACTCATTTGATGGAACAGTGAAGAGATTTCCTTTCTCTTTGCCACGGCTAATTTGTCCTCCAACAATGTATATATCCTGAAAAACAGAGTTAATTATAACAAAGAAACTACTCGAATCAAGCCAAGACATTAGTAAATTAACTACTTAATTTATTACCTGGATAATAGAATTTGTCTTGTGATCAGAAAGAATAATTTGCGCTAAATTTGTTAACGGACCATTGGTCAATATACTAATCTTATCTCCAGGAACTAGTGACTTTGCAATCATCTTCCAAACATCCAAGGCACTTGATTGTCTAAGTTCAGGGTGATCAGTATCTCGAGGAGCTCCAAATTTAACAGAGTTTTCTGCCGTATATCTGATCAGAAAGAAGTTTAATTAATTAGGACCTGAACATTAATATAGCATTAACATAAACAACATAACATTATAAGAAAGAAAAATAAACTGTACGTGCAGATAAAATCAAATATTGTATATGATATTCACACCCCGTAAGCCACAAAAACAAATAGACAATAGGAGTTTTTCGAACGTCAAATTACATCAAAATCAAAATACGAGACATGATAAATATTGTTAAAATATATACAGAAACACACTCTGTCACGCCCCAAACCCGAGAACATGATGTCCCTATGCTCATAAGATATTAGCCTTTGTTAATAATTATAACACAACGTTTAGTTCATGAATTTAAAATTATAATTCAGAACCATTCTCGATTTACGTGTGTTTTTTGTGAGAAGAAACACTGTAGTGAATCACGAATTATGATCCGAACTATGGTACGAATCCACCAACCAAACACATAGTAAATATTCTACTTGAGCTCATACGTATCCTTATTTGTGTTCCCCATATAAGATCGTGTCACACCAGTAAATTGCCATAAATTTTTAGTTGGTGTGATGTGAAATTTTAATTCACAGGACATTATATTAGAAGAGAGATAGGAGTCATGTTATCATAGAATTATCCGTTTTTTTCGCAAGGGAAATCAACAAGGCAAGTGAGGATAAGAGTAGGCAGTACCTTCTGGGACTGCGAGGCAAGTGACGAGCGAGTCCATAGAGAGTGTCGGAATCCAAGAAGCCACCACTGCCATGAGGCACGTATTTGATGTAAGTGCAGTCTCCAATGGCAGGGAAAGCCGAGTGGGTTTGGCCCATCGCAAAGACATCTCCAAGGCCAACTGGCATATCATCACGTCCCATCATGTGTAGTACGTCGTATACAACATCCACTGTCGCAGCACTCGCCCACCCATTTCCACTAATCAGTATTCCCTGTCCAAAAAAAAAAAAAAAAGGGAAAAAAGTGCTCAAAATTCCACATAATAGATAAACAACAACAATGTATCGAGTGAAAAACGACCAACAGTTTAGAAATATTAATTCGGCTATCACAAAAACGACATTGCTTATGAAACGACATATTTCATAAAAACATTAGGATTAAAAAAAACAACAATAATTTGAAAAAAACAAAACAAAAAAACAGTTAGGAGAATCGCGATGACAAGTACTTCCCATAACGACAAATATAAAACGAAGAAAAGAAATACGGAAAAGACGAAAAGGGCGACGATATGGCACCAGATATCCGGAGGTGTGGATTTTGTTAAACGACAATAACATGAAACCATAACAATTTATTGAATAGTAAAACGACAACATTGAAATAAACGACAACAAAAACAAAACGACAAGTACTCGCCAATAATGTTTTTGAACACTAAACCGCAAATCCACAGCGCTTAATGACTCTTGATTATGGCGTTCACTCAGCTATTTCTGATAGACAGCGTCAAATAACTAGAAAGAGAAACATTTTGAAACCATGACAAAATTAAGGCTATTTTAATGACATATATACGGAGAAACTTTACCTTGACGTCGATGAGTTGTACAGGTAATTTCAGAAGATAGAAAAGAGCTAGGAAGTCCCCAACGCTCATGTCCATGTCAAAAATAACAGCTTTCCCTTTTATTTGCCTCACAAAGTCCGGTTTGTAAAATGTTTCCTCGTAGTAAGGAAACTGCGTTGTGATATTAAACCGTCCACTTTGTGCTGGACGGTTCATGACCTGCATTAATTGACGGTACAAATTATTGAAAAAAAAAAAAAAAAAAAAAAAAAACCCCACCATTGAGTTTAATTGTTTAATTATTTTTTCATGATTTTGTGGTTTACATATGTAAATTTGAAAGAAGAGGAGAAGACTCATTGGTCTAGCTAGTAGAAAGTAGTTCGGAAATATATAGATAATATTATATAATCTAACTTACATCCAAGAAATTCTTATAAAACTCCTTGCTAAGTGAGCTGCTTTTGTCACGGTTTTGTCTGGCTTTTGTCGCAATATGAACTTGCACTGCTTCCTCACCAGTTACCTTCTTTGTGTAACCGTCCTTTTAGCATATAACAAGATTTATAAAGTCCTGATTCCACTATATATACACATTTCTATGCTAGTACCCAAAGCCAATGCTATATTTGGCACGTGAAAACAACAAATTTAATGCTATTATATTTTATACTCCAATACATTATGCTGTTATAAATATTATATCTACTTTTTGTATTAACTTTTACGCTTTGTAGCCTGTAAAAATAAACTTTTACTCTTAAGACAATTTGAAAATGGTAATAACCGAATGAAAAGTTGAATTCATGAAAGAATAACAGTCAAATGCAAAAAATTGGTTATAACACTCTATATATATATATATATATATATATATATATATATCAAGTTTGAATTCAAATATAGCATATGTCAAAATTAACACAAAAAATAACATTGCATTTGGGGAGTGAATTTCCTATTTAAATGATAAAATTTTGGTATTGACACTATAATCTGGCACTGCATTAGAGATGCTCTAATAATGGCACTCCAATAATCATGTATTAAATTAATTCCAGAGGTTTCACCAGGGAAGACATCAATATTATACTCTGCTAAACGTTGACAATTCTTGGCTTAAATTATAAACTTTTTACCGATTTTCCCCGAAACATTTGTAGGTGTCAAGTTGCTTAAGATCAAACACATATGTTCTGATGCTTAAAAGAATATTAATCACATTTATATACCTGACACCTCCCTTTCTTTCCCTTATTGAGGCAAAAGGGGTCTTGCATTCCAAGCTGAACGTGACCACTATGCACCCCATTCTTATCAGGTACACTTAACTTTGTGATAGGCCTCTCATCAATGAGAGGATTTGGGCCATCTGACATAATTCCATAAGGTTCATTGGACGTAACTACTGTGATGTTCACGTACTCCATCTCAGCAAATTCATTTTCTCCATCATTACGCATTTGAGATAGTGCTACACCAGCCATGAAAGAGTCCCACATGCAATATTGCTGCAAAACAATATCATTCCTTCTCAATATCACCATGCGTATACATAAATTGCTATAAAGTACGTTTCTGCATGCTCTTTCTGAGTGTATAATATATCTAAACATACATAAGGAATCAATTAGTAATTACCTTATAAAATTCACTATTAATCCATGTGTCACGAACCATCTTCAAGGACTGGAAGCAATACTTTGCTTCATAAGTGTCCTGTTTCTGTTCAAATGCTGAGAAAAAGTTTTCATCTACAGGAATCGTTCTCGTCGCGTCCAGAGGAATGAGTGTGATTGGAATACCAGAGTGCAAAACCTGACTTGATCATTGGGGAAAAACAAAATCACAAACGTATAGATACATGTGACATATTTATCATTCATTTCCAGTTATGTCAAGATATAATTATAATGTTGTATATTAATAAGTACCGTGTAAGCAGCAAAAGGGTCTTGAAAGATATTAAATTCTGCATATGGATTACTATCTTGAGGATACAAATTGCCAATTTCACCATACATGTTTGGTCCAATAGAGCCACCCATGGCATAAATATGCTCCACATTCTTCTTAAGGTGAGGATTGGTCATTAGAAATACAGCTAAATTTGTGTGGGCCCCCATGAGAAACACAGTTATAGGACCTGCAGAGATTGCATCTATCATCACCTGTTGAGCTGTGGGTTGCCGAAGTGGTTTGTATCTTCTGTTACCCTATTATATTTTCCGCATATATAACACCAATCGTTAGACGTACTATAAACAGTCAAGTATACAGCTAGGCAAACAATATGATCATGCGTATAACTTGCATGGGTGTGTGTGTTTGTGTATATATGTATATATGTGTGTATACGCATATAGATATTCCTCATATTGGATATATACCCGAGGAAGGAAAGCTGTACGTAAACCATAGTTTGTATTAATATCCAGACGACCACCACGTCCCACTGGTATTGCCTGTCTATATCTACATTCTCCAGCTGTCGATGTACCCTGTCGAGTTGTCCCAAAAAAGAAAATGAATAAAATAAATAAAGAAACGACAACAAATTGATCGGATTTTCATATATGTATGTGGAGACGTAAAGCACTAGCTAACAATGATTAAATTGAAGCCACTATTGAAAGTAACTGAACAATTGATCACATTCTCACTAGAATTTATCTTCACAATTTAAAATTGATATCCATCAAAGGGGTTAGGATTACAACAAGTACACGTCATGATTTTTGTATCCATCACAAAACAATTAGTGTAGGGATATTATTAGTCCAATCTTAAACGTGTTTAAATATGTTGCAAATATGCTTTTTTTTTCTTTTTTTTTTTTGAGAAGAGAGAGGAGAGACCTGGTCAATAATGGGAAGGAATCCACCAACATTTGAAAGAATGGTAGCGTTAGGAAAGATGCCACCTTCACCACCAACACCAACTGGAATGTCATCACGATCCATCATGAACAGAATGTCGTACACGTGGTTAACTGCATGCCCTCCATCACTCCATCCATTTGCATTTATGGTAATTGCCTACAGTACACGTATATATAGTTGGACTAACCGGGCCTTTAGTACTAGTCACTTAACTAACACTGACACAACGCAATTACGGTTGTAGCCTTGTAGGCACATATCCTACTATTCTATTTAATTTCCTCTTATTTAAAAAAACAAAACAAAAAAAGTTAATCTCACTTTTGATTCCCAAACTATAGTAAAGTTTAATCTTCTGCCCTAATAGTCATGCCCTAATATTGTAAAATTCAAAATTCGCCCTTACAAAGGGGCGTACACCATCCTCAAGTGCCCTTTTTTGTTGAGAGTCGGATGGATAAAAGGACTAATTTAAAACAACTTGATAAAATAAAGTCTCGTTTTAAGATTTTTTAAAAATTAGAGACTAAAGTAAAATTTAACTTATAATTGGAGAATTTAAAATAAGATTAATCAGAACAAAATGAGTACATAATTAATTAACAGATCATGGTTTTATCAGTATCATACCTTTTATTTTTTTTTTTTTTTTTTTTTTTTTTTTTTTTTTTTTGGGGGGGGGGGGGGAGGGACAAACCTGCAAATCGAATTCTGACTTGTTTTGCTTTAAGAGATAGAAGAGAGCAAAAATGTCATCTACATCCGCATCCGTGTCGACAAGAATCCGGCGACGTTGAGCATCCAAACCGTTGATCATCATCACAAATATAATTAGAAATATTCCCTTCATGATTTGCATCCAACGGAGTCTCATGATCTCCAACTTCATTGCTCTATATATATATCATATATATATGTTAACAAAAAAAGAAACAAAAACGTACGTAAACCCCTTGTTATATATTTGTTCTCATATCATGATCAAAAAGTAATTCGATGTAATAGGTCAAGTGTCATCAAGAATCAAAGATACAAGAAGAGTGACATAGGAGTACATGTGCAAACAAAACGTATGGAATTCCAAGACTTACCTCAACCATACAAGCTCCTTCTAACTCTCCTGATCTTGGGGTTATTCTAACTTATTTCAAGTACTCAAGGAAGATGTATAGGATTTCATTTTCAAAACCAGGCCAGACTTGAAATGACTACATCTTCTTACGGATCATATATATATATATATAAGGAGCCAACTTCTAGAGGTTTAATTTCAATGATGAGAATGAATTATAATATTGTATGCATAAACGAGAAAGATCGTAGAAAAACAAAGGTGGTCCTTATATACTGGAAGTCAAACTTTGGAATATCAATATGCAATGCATGAAGAAGATGAATATGTGTGTGTGTGTGTCTGTAGAAAGCGAGGGGGAGAGATCAGGAAGTGAATGGATATTTCCTTTATTAAGAAAGGCCATATATAAAAGGAAGGTTTATCCTTATAATTGAAAATACCTAATTAATTACGAATGTTCACGTTTTTTTTTTCTTTTTCAGGGAACGAATGTTCAATTTTAAAAAATACAGACTGGTTTTTTGCTTTTCTGTCTCGATAAAAAATAAAGAATTTTAAGTGTTAAAAAGGGAAAACAAAAGGTCAAAATCCTTTTTTTTTTTTTTTTTGCTCGTCTCTTTTTATATTGTTTATTTTCGCTCTGGTATATATTGGTTCGCTTCTTACCATTTATTTAGCAAGGTCCCTTTCTCTTTATCTTATCTATTAGTCACTTTTCTACCAAAAATAGAAACTTATTGTCAATTATCCTTGTTTCTTACTCGTTAAAGTGTATCAGAAATAAACATCCCAATTTATTGTGTTAAAACTTCAGGATAAGAAGATTGTTTTCTTGTTTTAGGGTCCAGGATATAACAAAGCAAAATCAATTACTTTGTACTGAATCCTTCATTTTCTTTTTTTATTCCGTGAAGGAACCTATGTACCAATTAATCTAGTTGACTTGTGACTAAAAAAAAAAAAAAATCCTCTTGATTTGATTCCTATACTTTCCAAAACAATTTGCCGTTTTTTAGAAAGAGATCTGATCCAAAATTGACGTGTGAAGAAACAGCAACAAAATGTGGAAGCCTTCAAGCGTCTTTTTTTCATCGAAAACAAACGAAAAATAATCATAGAATAACGGCGTTAATTTAAGCGCAACGCAGGATAAACGACAAGAAATCTATAAAACGATAACAAACTCAAAGGGAGCTGCCTAAAAAATGACATTTCTCAAATGACTTATAAAGTGAGAGTGTAGTAAATAACAGATTTTTAAAACCAAGTTAAGTAAATAGCATATTTTAATACTATTTAAAATATGTTTATAAAGTAAATGAATCATTTAGGCTAGTAAAAATATTTTTTTCACGTAAATTTTCTTTTTACGACTTATAAAAAGAATATTTTTCCATGTAAATATATAAAGATTTTTTAAAAAAATTTTATCACGCAAGTCTGCATAAAGGATTCAATTACTACGTAAACTGTTATTTACTTCAAATATTTTTAAAATCTATTATTTATTTAATTTAGTTTTAAATGAAACAGATCTCTTCAACTACAATATCATGTAGCATTAAAATTGGGATTGCAATTCAGTCTTCTTGAAATCCTTTTGTGCCGCTATTACTACTAGTAGTTGCTTCTTAAAGCCAAACTTTCGCCATAAAAACTAAAGAAATCGGTCCATACTCCATAGTTGATTGTTAAATCCTGCCATAAAAAAGTAATTATTTAAAGATGCCACAAAGTTTCTCCTTATTTTGAGCTGTACTCTTAATTTATTCTTTTATATGGTATACACGTGATTTAAAGCTAAGATATAGTTTAAAAATGACGTGGAGAATTTTTAATCCCTTTCATACAAGTTTACTTTGTAATAAGCTTTTCTTTTTCTTCTTTTTTTTTTCCCTCTAAACTTTGTATATGTCATAGAGGTCGATTCGTTTGTTTATTTTGTTTTCTTTATGTATTTTGTTTGTTTCATGGATCAGTCAAATCAATATTAGTTCTTCAGTATAATCAATTATCCGCAGCAGCTTTTAGATTTTTGCTTCTGCTCTTACTTTTTCTACAAGTAGTGCTTCTATCTATATTCAAAAGCACAAAAATCTCAAACTAGGCCTTAGTCTTGAATCAAGGAAGAATTTAAAATTTTAAAAAACAAAAAACAAAGAAATTAAAATTAAAACAAAAAACAAACAAAAAGGTTGCTGCTTTAGATGGAGAATTTACTGAGTGAACATACCACATGGAGATAACTCTTATTTTTCTGTTGAAGTTGCCATAAACTAAGAAGCAGACGCCGGACAAAAACAGCATCAGGAGTGTTATTCACTAGTACTTTGATATTAACTAGTCAGCGAAACACCATTTTTCTTTTGAGCTAAATTTTAACCACTACATGAAGATAAAGAAGATAATTAATTAACCTGGATCAAAGAACTATTCTTCTAAGAAAGAATAGTTTGAGCTTAATTGGTCTATGAACCGTTGGTTAATATAGTACCGGGATTTAATGATTCAACATTGGACTTCCAAACATCTAACGCAGTTGGTTGTCTAAGTTCAGGGTGAGGAGTATCTGGAGGAGCTCCAAATGAGTTTCCTGCTACATATCTGGAAAAATAAATTAGTAAATTAGAACTTGGACACCATTAATTTAAAATAAACGTTACACAAACAAATCATTTATATAATCACAGATTAGTGTCTTGTAGAAATTGGACTATGCCCAAATATTAAGCAAAAAAAGACTATAATTGAGTTTACTAAATTGTTATAAGGCACCGGTAGTGCTAAGCACTATCGACTAATAGAGGTAGATCCTGCAGTGTGAGACTTATAAGTGGGACTCACATTTTATTAGTGATGGTACTTAGTACTGATAGTGCTCCTAAGCATTTTTTTTTTTGTCCAAATGCTCAATTCTAGGCTGGTATTTTTTTTTTTTTTAAGTAGTAGTAGTACCTACGTAGTGATCAATTCTAGGGTTTTTTTTTTCTTTTTTTTTTTTGGCAGTAGTGGTAATACCTTCTGGGACTACGAGGTAAGCCACGAGCAAGTCCATAGAGATGACGAATGGATTTGCGAAAGGTGCAGTCTCCAATGGCAGAGAAAGCCGAGTGGGTTTGGCCCATGGCAAAGACTTCACCAAGGCCAACTGGGATTTCATCACGCCCCATCATATGCAGTACGTCGTATAGGACGTCCACTGTCGCAGCACTTGCCCATCCGTCTGCGCTTATCAGAATTCCCTGTCAAAAACAATCTTCAAAAGTTTCACCCCCACTCATATATCAGCAGGTAACACCAAGGGGGTGTTTGGTATGCGAAAATCAGTAAAAATTATATTCTTAAGAAAGTGATGGAGGGTAATATGATTCCTATAAATAATACATTACTGTGTTTGGTTCCATATAATAATCTTTTTTAAATTCCCAAAAATATTACATTACTGTGTTTGGTTGTTCGCATGGAAGAAAATCCATATTATTATGAATAAAAAAATAATAATAATAATAATATTATTATTATTATTATTAATATAATATTATTATTATTATTATTATTATAAGATTCCCATGATTTTGAGATTTCTACGAATTTGAATAACATCATGTTGGGTGGTATTTAAATTACCTTAAAATGAGGAAAAGTGAATCTCATGGTAATCACTTTCTTGGGAATCTAAATATTATAATTCTTATACCAAACATGATAATATTACAGATTCTCATTCTCATCCTTAAGATTACTGCATACCAAACGCCCCTAAACATAAAAGAAGATGGAAACGATAATATATCTTAAACGGCAACGAAAATGGAAGTAAAAAATACGGTAAATTTTCTAATAAATGGTATTAAATCGATAAAGAGAGTTTATTTGAACAAAGTGGGTATCCTGAAAATGTTTTATAAAACCGTCAAGATAGAGGACAAAACACGCCATTAAGTGATGGAAAACGATAACATCCTGAAAGAGACCAGTGTCTCCTAATTGACAAAGTAGGAACAACAACTGCCATGAACGGCACTAAGTACAAAATGCAATAGTTATCCATAGAATACAATAACGAGTCATAAAAAACGATAAAGTTTTAGAAAAACGACATAACAAATAAAGGTCAAAAATCCGAAACAAAGCAAAAATAATAATAATAACAATAACACAAAAACGACAAAACAAAAAAACAAAACAAAACCGTGTAACATCAATAACAACAAAGGAATAGGATGTCCTAAATGAAAATATAGAAAACCGTGTATCGTTAATGACGACAGTAAATATAGAAAACGACACTGTTATAAAATGAAAATGACAAGAAAACGACAATACTCTATAAAAGAATATAAGATCATAAAAATAAAAATAAAATAAAAAAAAAGACACGTCCTAAATGAAAATAGTTCCGCCAACAATTTGTTTTGGAAAAAAACAGCAAAAGATTTTAGAAGAAAGAGATTTATTTGATAACAAATATTTGAACAGCGTTTTATTGAAACAAGGACAAACACTAGATTAATTAAGTTCAAAAATCAAAACATTCATAGAAAAACGAAAATGTCAATAAATTAAACAACGACAATTTATAGAACGATTTTTTTCGCTTTTTTTTTTATATAAAAACCAATAACAAATGACAGACGAGAAATTTATAAAAACGACTAGCTTTCTACACTGCCGACAAGACGATCGAAACAATAACATATCCAAGCTCCCATCTAGTTTGTGTATAACTCTCAAGATCTCAACTCTCTGTTAAATTACAACATCTCTTAAATAACATGCAGAAACGACAGCTTTCAGTA